CCCTCTGCTGGCCGCAGCGCGTCCCTGCAACGGTAGCTGGGAGGCTGCCTGTGGGCGAGAGCCCTGGTTCCTGGCTCAGACTCTCCCTGTCCATCCTGGCGCGGCGCGTAGTCCTCTCTGTCATGCCCTATAGACCCACCCGGACCCCCAACTCCTCCTGCGTCCCACCCCGCTCCCCAGCTACTCCGTGCCGGCCTCTTCCTCTCCACACCTGTCTTTCCCTCCGTGAATGAGGGCCCCGTGGCCCGACCTCCAAGGAAGGCATCTCTGACCGTCGGGCTGGCGGTCCAGGGTCCAGTCTGGCCTCTGGCTTTGCCCGGGAGCGTGTTCCGGGGCGCCCGAAGGCCAATCTCAGTCCCAGATAATGTTCCAGCGGCCCAGCTCGGTGCCGCAGCCTGTCCATCGTGAGGCGCACAGAGCTTGACACCCCTCCCCGTGTCCCTGCCCGAGTCACAGCCCGCGACACCTAGACGACGTGGAGCAGACTGCCAGGGCACGCCAGGCTCCAGCGTGGGCCGAGCGGCGGACACAGGAGCCCGGCGGCCTTCTCTGGTCTGGGGTTGGGCTGCTCAGTCCACAAACCCTGGTCTCCGCTCCACGTCTCCGTCCTCCCTCCCTGCACGCACGCTCGCACACTTGCGATGGGCCCGATCCAGCCCTTTGTCTCTGCTCCCCACGTCCGGTCTCCCGAGCTGAGTTGGTCTTTCCCGGGTTCTTCGTGCACAGATGCGCTGAGGCCCCAGGTCCCTGCAGACCGGGTCCCCCGCGGAAGAAGCAGCCGGGGCCTAGGGCCAGAGCCGACCACCGCCCGTAAGCTGCGAGTGGCGCCTTGCTCCGCTCGACCTGAGCCGGGCGCGATTGGGTTCCGGCCGATTTCCCGGCGCCGCCGGACCCTCGACGCCCGCGCGGCTCGCACCGCTCTCCTGCCCAGCCCGACTGCGCTCTGGCTCCGACTTCAGCGGCAGAACAGCTGCGGACTTTCCCCACCCGAGGAAAGACGGCGGGCGTCGGCTCTCGGAATGGCTCGGAAGAATCAGGAATGGAAAGTGAAGCAGGACACCGGCGGCCTCATCTCCTTGCAGCTTGCAGCCGGGCAGAGGCCGATCTCCACCGAGCCCTGACCCATCCCTACTTCTCTCCTTAGGGCGTCGCACCTATCCCCCGCACTGCCCGCCTTCCGCGAGCTGGGCCGTATGACCCGTGTTCATCCTACCCCTGCTGTCTGGGCGGGAGAGTCGGAGAGCCGGAGCAGCGGGGTCTCCTCCCAGTTTATAACCCCAGCCCAAGGCTTGGCTCCCGGCAGAGATGGAGCGCGCAGCACAGCCAAGGAACTGCAGGACAGCAGCTGAGTCACTGACCCCCCCCCCCCCAGCCTGGGATCCCTGACCGGGTTGGGCTGGGGGCCCCTATTCCCAGGACGCCGTCCATGCTGGGTCCCGGGAGAACCACACAGACTCCGGAGATTGAGAGGCGACCGTGGAGCCCGCACTGCAGAGGTCGAGTGCTGGCAGTCTCAGAGCCAGTGAGACTAGCCTTCCTCCAGAGCCCAGCAGGACTGACCCCAGGACGCGTGGGTGGAGGGGTTAGGCCCCTTCTCAGCCAAGGGAGATGGAGTGTAAGATAATCACCTCCCCACGGCCCCGTGCAAAGTGTGGTCTTCCTGGGTGATGAAAGCTCTCACAACCACTCTAAGCCCAGGTCGAGGCCCTTAGAGAGGAATGGGGAGGGTCCCAGCTGGGGCCTTTCTGATTCAGGGCTGGGGGCTAGTACTCACTCTCCCAGAAGGGGAGAGGGATGACAGGGAGACAGGACTTTAGACAGAACTTCCTGAGGCAGTGCTGGCTCTGAGGCCGTGTGCTAGCCAGCGTCAGCGCACAACTTGGGAGATGACCCAG